AGACACTAGAACTGTCTGGAGATAACTGCCGTGGTCCCTCCCACTCCCCTGGGGGCTGTGATACCGTTGTCATCAGCCTGGTGATGAACGACAGGAAAGGAGCCCAGGGAAGGCCACTGCCACCAGCATGTCATGTGGGCAGCTTTCCACTCCCCGGGGAGGCACCGGTCTATTCCCGAAGATCCCAGATCCCTGGGGGAGGGCTGGACAGGGAGGAGACGAGCCCCATGCCCAATAAAGTTGGGGTGATGTGGGGAAGGTACTTGGCTGTCAGTCACACCTGGGAACAGGTCACTGGCCAGAGTGGGTGTGGCCATTGGGAGCGCCCGGGAACTCGGGACACTTGACAAAGAAACCACGCTCTTGGCTTCGCTTGTGTTCTGGGCCCCCTTGTGTGTGGCGCTGGACCCCTGGCTCGCCGGGCTCCCTCGCTCCTGCTTCCTGGCCTTGGGCCACATGGACCCCACACACTGGGCCCATGGGCTGTACCTGGCCTGGTGCTGAACTGGACCCGACACTAGACACTGGCTTTGCGTCCGGCTCTACTGAAACCCCGGCTGCACTTCCGCGATGAACGGGGCTTCCGAGGCCCAGAGGTGTGATTCCGCACAAATGAAAACATCACTCCTCCTCTCCAGGCAGCGTAAGGACCCAGTGGGAAGCGGGTACCGCCCCTGTCCCTGCCAGCAGTCAGTCACGAGAAGGACATGCACGGGCCTGCCTGGAGGGAAGCCCCGGTGTGGGGGGCACTCGAGTGTGTCACCTGCCCGCGGAGCCCTGGGACAGCTCTGTCGCGAGGGCAGCAGGCAGGGCCTGCTTCTGAGGAAGACACGACAGGAGGGCAGGTGTCCTCATCCTCGTGTCATAATGCAGTTGTGAGCTCATCGCTCTCTCCCTCGTAGGACTCCCACCAGGCTAGGGGGGCAGAGAAGTCAAGGCCAGCGGACCATCTAAAGACCGCGATGTCGGTGCATTTCTGTGTAAGAGACACAGCCAGGCCTCCTCGGCTGGCCGGGGGTGGGCGGGAGCCGCCCTGGACTTCAGAGATCTTGGGAAAAGAGGGGATGTTGAGGCAGCGGGAGGCCCTAGAGAGAAGCCGCATCTAACTCATCCATGCATGTCTCCCGTTTAATTTCGAGGTCAGAAACACGGCCATCTGATTTTAATTAAGGTTAAGAACAAGGAAGAGATTCATTATGTGATGTTACAAGGAGAGGAGCCCCCGCCCCCACCCCCGGTGCGTAAATCTCCTGTGATTCAGAAAAGCCCGGGGCACTCGCCTCTGATCTCAGGCGCTGGCTCCTCCCCTCCATGCCCTGCTCAGCCTGGGCTGTGGGTCTGACTGTGACAAGCGTGAACGGCCAGCCCGGCCGGCGGGGCTCAGGGGTTGAGCATCGGCCTGTGACCCAGGAGGTCCTGGTTCAATTCCCGATCAGGGCACATGGCCGGTTGCAGGCTCGATCCCATGTGGGGCGTATAGAAGGCAGCCGATCAATGATTCTCTCTCATCATTGATGTTTCTATCTCTTTCTCTTCTGTCCCCACTCCCCCCACTTTTCCTAACACTCTCAAAGCTAAAAATATGAGAGAGAGAGAGAGAGAGAGAGAGACCCTTGCAGCAAGTCCCGGGAGTTGGTGGCAGGGCTTCCTGAGGTGTCTCTGGTCTCTGCCTAGCGAGGAAGAACGAGAGCGGCCAGGAGGATCCAGGCGTGGTGGCGGGGCCTGCTGGTGCGCCGGGCGCTGCTGCACGCG